AGTATGAAGCCCAGGAAAAAACAAATATCTGCTGCTGATTTCGGTACTGGCCATTGAACGATTCGTTTCAAGTTGCTGGGGTCTACCTGCACTGCTTCTTTTCATAGCTAATTGCACTTTGAGGTTTTCGGGATGAGGCCCTCTGCGCGAATCCTGGCAACTGGCTCCTTTAGGTGACCGTTATGTTCCGCGATTGTCGTGATCAGGTAGTACTTTCGAGTGTACCCGAAGAAGATCGATCCAGTTGGACTGCATCTGGGCAGATGACACGAGGGGATTATTGTCGACTGAAAGCTTCTCTTGGCTGTCCCTATTAGCATCATTTGCACCAGACGAATCCGTCGTAGTCTCCGTCGGAAGGTTAGCTGCTGTTATCTGGTCGGATGAGCCCGATTGGGATTCTTCGTGCCTTGTCTCGACCTGAGAACAGGATTTGAGCTCCTCCACCGATGTGAATGACACCAACTTTTGTTGTGCGTCGATGTGGGCTCCGTGCATATTCCGAAGGTCAGTTCCTACGATCACATCCAAGCTGATTAACGCCACCAAGAATGTGTGCGTGAACACCTGTTCTGCGAGCTCCAGCGCTAGAGCGACCCTTCCTCGGGAGTGGACTCCAGCACCATTGGCTGTCACCAGGGCAAGCCCCGGGGTGGGGATCAGTTGCATGTCTCACCAGCTCGGTTCGCACTATAGAGCAGGTCGCTCCAGTGTCGGTTAAACCACCACGCACTGGTCTCGAATTCGGCTGGAAAGCGTAAAGGGTGACGGACTAGAACACAAAGTAAGCAAAAACAGTGGTACCAAAATATTATCCGGCGGCTTACCTGTCTTGCGTACCTCCCACAACTCATAGTCGTCCCCCGGAGAGAAGACATTTGGCTAGAGAAGCTAAGCCCGATCAGCGAGAATGAGAGGACATATCACAGGGGTGGCTGTTGTTGATTGCTTTTCTCTTCGATGTTCCATATTCCACCTCTAACACCAGATTTGACGTGGGTACAGAAATTACACAGAATGTTTGTAGACCTGTAGGAACGCTCTGAAATGACAGTAGTAGACACTCTCCTACCATCGAAACACGATTACATCTCTCGCTATCAGACACACTCACAAAGGGTGAACACGACTGTCGCGCACGAACATATATTGTAGCACGGAACGAATGGCAAAAAGTAATATACAAGCTGTATCTGGGAAGGGGTTGTTGTGTCCCAAATTAAGTAGGCAAGTGAGCACACAACGAATCAAGCAGTAAGTTTATTGTAAACAGTAAATATGTAGTCGGTACACAAACCGGGGAACAAGAAGGAACGATCTGTATGTAGGAAGGCAGACAGCTAAGCAGACTCCGGCTCACACATTTCACTACATGCGAATGCTGTCAACCCAGAATTCAAACAGTCAGTCAATCGATCCAGCGATCGATCGATCAACTAATTTGATCACAGGCATATATGAACACAAATCAGTCAGTTGTAAGCCACAGAAGGTTCGTATCGATTATGGGTTCTCATGTATTTTCTGACACTTCTGTTTATTCGTTAGTAGCTTTCAGCGTATTCAACCATTGTGCGCCTGAAAGGAACAGGGAAGGTAAGACAATTATTAATACCGTGCAGATCTCCGACCTTTTCGGTTTCAATGTCGTTGCAACGGACAATTTCAAACGTGGCGGTACAGAATGACGTGTAAAATTGTGATACAATCAAACCAAAACAGAAGTATACAGTTATAAATAAAGAAAAACAGAATAGTAGGAAGCAGTTGCTGAATTATTAATCGTTCAACTTTGGTATTCTGTCATTTGGTATTAAATATTCAGAGTAACGCGGTCGATAGATATTGCCATTTATATTTGGACTACTTAGACATACAACGTAGTCAATTTGCAAATGGTGAACATTCAGGTTCCCTTTCGGAGGGTTTGCAAAGACAAACCAGGCAGCAGAGAATGATAGAGATGTGTTCATGTGATAAAACTACTCATAACACTATCAATAGAATAACAAGAAACATCAACAATTAAAACCGAGTCACAATAACCAAGCGTGCTCGATGCATTGGGAAATTATCGACCAGTAAGGTCGAGTAGATTACTTGAAAGAAGGACAGACAATCAAAATAAATAAATAAGTCTTTTTTGCTTCCTTTTTTATTTATTGAATATACAAATGTACAGTCAACATTCAGGAGCGGGGGGAGGGATCGCGGCCATACAGAGGCTGCCTGGGAAGAGGAGCGGTGGTGGAGCAGTTCGAATCCGGGACTTATGGGTCACAAGTTGGTGGCTACCTCGGCCACCACCGCTGTCGTGTTTGGTATGGGAAGGAAAAGCAACTTTACGGGACTGTGCTTGTGAACTGCCATCCATTGTTCTGGAACAGTCGGAAATTTTCACAGTAAGTAGTAGTAAGTAGGCAGTACATCAAATTCGTAGCCCCTCTTCGTGTCAAACGTTTTGTTACAATATATTGCTGACTTCCACGCAGTTGGTTGATGATAATGTCACTTATACGTGACCTCAACTTTGCATCGATTTAATGACACGTTTTTGAAGCAATTTTAAATCTGGACCCAACTCATTGAGACCATGATCAATGCTGCAAAAAGGACACTATCATTGGAACTAAAGTGAGCGTTTCAATATCTCTATCCCCTTTTCTTGTTGTTTCTAGCTAACATACAATTCGCACAATATAATTTCATTCAAGCTAAAAACATATTTTAAAAGCTGACAAAAAATGGGCAAATATGTGCACTAGATAGTCAATGTGACTAAGTTTCTTACTCATAAGAAGGCGTTTCATAATTTCTTATTCAATCGAGAGAAAAATGTGCGCATTTTCATCTAATTATACTCTTCTAAGAGAACAAAACTATCGCTTTACTTTGGTGGTTCGATAACTTCACAGTTCGTAATTTAAAAGTGTTATTATTGCAAATGCTTCATCAGCACATGGGTAGTGAAGGCCATTGTCCCGTAGGCTTTATATCTGAGTCAATCTATCAGCACCTACATTCTTCATTTATGTTTATCGCCCGGAAAACAATTTATTAGCCACAACCTTGTCCTGAAATCGATTACGCAACTGTTGATTACATAGACAGAATTATTAGGTTGCAGTTACTATTAATAATAGTTAGGTACGCTATACTACCTTCAGCAAATTAGACACTGATCATGAATAATAGCCCATCCAGATCACGAAGCTTTCGTTCATGAAAAGGCGGTTTTGATTTAAATAAAAGCACTTTTAGACGTTTTTCTTGGTCTACAGAATATTCGAATGGTGCTTACGATATCCTAAAATCTATCCCCTTTCGATTATCCGGTCCTGTTGACTAACTTACGCACGTGAGAACCACTTTGTACTAGTAATCAGTGAACCTACAATCAATTGTTTTTATAAGTTTTAGCTCTCAGTTACAATACGACGTTCTATGGTTTTAATTGCCACCCGAGGTAATTTGTTTCGATGATTTGATCTTCATTTTGGGTTGTGCAATTTTGTTTTGATCTCCCTGCGACTGATGTGCTTAACCGATCACAATACTCTCTTCGTCCCACCGATTATTTATGCGACCCAATGCATTTAATTATATATCCACTTCGTTACTCCGGAAGTGAGTGATTACGCCACGGAAATGACCGATTAGGCCTTTCGAGTGTACGTGAATGGGGTCCTGGCCNCCTTTGCATGGGAACTGCGACCATAAAATTGTGTCAACTGGAACACCTATCCACCATCTTCCTCAACCAGTTCGGTGCAAATGTGTAGTGCTCGGAGTGGAAAGAAATCACGGATCCACTCTCTCTCTCTCACGAGTGCAACTTAATCACGAACCAGGAATCACGAATCGCACTGGTAGTCGTCTGTCGAAGTTCACTACCAACCAGACGTGGGGCACAAATAACGGAAGTAGTGATTCATCTATTAAAAAGGATTAAATAGTATATAAATAGACATATTACTGGATAAACAGATATCGACCTATCACCGTTCGTATTCTCCACGTCACAAGACTCATGTATAGACTCTATGACCTTGGGTTGATTGAGTCTGTTGACATTTGATACACTTTCCGGAAACCGTAACGCATAGCCCCTTGACTGGCGGTATTGTTCAAGTGTACATTAGCACAATAGGTCACCTTGCTTGCAGTGAAACTGTTCGCATGGTGATCAAGAGTCAAGAATTCTACTTTCACTTTTAGTTTTCCTAATTATTACCTTTAAACTTCTTTTAATATTTTACCTTGCTTTCTGTCGGTCATGCACGTGTTTGGAAATTAATCCAGAATAAAATGGACGGACTGAATGTTGTGAGCAACACCAAGGTAAAAGATACTGAAGGTGGACAAAAACAAATTTTTTGCTTCACTGCATCCCATCAGTTAGTCTGATTACGAAGTCTCCAAACAGGTAATTCAATGAAGATTTTAAAACCTTGATCAGCGTCTATAGAGATAACCCCAGCTCCTGCATGCCTCGATAGAACTCGTCCATCGAGGAAGCCTATCTGTTGTCAAGCGCAACGATCTATCGTTTGCACATCATTGCTTCGTTGCGTGGTAGCACCGAAACTCGATTGCCCGACTGTTCAACCAGAACCATCCAATGAAACATAGACAGCGAAGCTCAACTACCGGTGGTTTACGTTGATCTTTTGTCCGTGACTGACATATTTCTGCAACGTTGACTAAATTGTTACAAACGTTTCACGGCAGTTGTTTTGAGCAATGTTTCGTGATATTTGTCAAAGGCTGTATGAACTGTTGAAGATGATTCAGGCAGTGCAACAAACGAGCGGTGTCATTTGCTCGCAATTTTTATTCGTCCGTTTTAATAAATGTTTCGCATCACCATTGCAAAGAAAGTTCTTCAACGAGTCAATTCGACTTCAAGGTCAGCGTATCCGCAAAAAGTGAAAAGTGAAAAAAGGATGGAACTGATAGATATGCAATCGTTTTACGATCATTACCATCTGAATAAAAATTTTAGAATTGAGAATAACCCGTTAAATTGAATCTGACGTGAATCATGAGAATATTTCAGAAAATTGAAATATTTTTTGAGAACAATTTTTCGCTGTCTGTTGAGATTTTATTTCAGAGTTCCTTACTTTTCTATTTCCCTAAAGATAAGCACACCTGTAGTGCAACACCAACATGGAGTGCTCATATTTTCCTAAATCTGCTGAATAGAGTTATACGAGGCAACATTTCTGATTGAGAGTGAAGGGGCTTATACAGCCTTGTAGACTGTTGATATTATTATTATTGATGTTATTATTCTTATTGGTGCCGCATCACGGCTTATTCGCTTTAGCAGATCCGGGCTGGAGGAGCCCACTAGGAGGCCAGAAGATGATGCGGAGGCGAGGCATGAAGAAATGCACTGAGCGATTAGGTAGAGTAGGTGACTCTCATCCTCCAGGTTTGGGTCCAAAGGACTCTGCACCTGGGTGGTTGGAGACGTTGAAGGATATGGCAGAAAAGCGACAGCGGTGGCGTCCTGGGATGCTTGAAAAGGGACGTGTGCACAATCGGATTGTGTACTCTATGTGTTGATTCTACGGATATGTTTTCTTTCCCTCTTAACTCAAAACATGCCTAATCCCTATAAACCTTATATATTCTCAATTTGTGTGCATTACGAGTTTGGA